GGGGGACTATTTTGGCTTTTGCTCTATACATATTTATCACCAAAAATTTAATTTTTATATTTATATTACCCAAATATTTAATATCATGTAAAAATACCACTATCACTAATATAACAAATTAATCACTTAATTAAAGCTGGTAAGACGATTCGGTGTTATCATAATAGTCAATTCAAAAATTTATTGCTCAAAGAGTATTCTTAGCAATCATATTATGTATTGCATTTCCAAAAGATGGTTCTGACAATACTTATGCAGAACCAAAACTTCTAAAAATGTGTCGTACCCGTGTCAGACACATATTGGAAACTGACACTTGTCTGACACGCCCCGACACTTCTTCAACACTAAAAAATATATGTCTGATTTTTTTTTCCAGCATAAATATGTCTGACACACCTCAACACTGCATCAAATGTGAGTTTAACACTATTTCGAGAAAATGGAACACAAAAACTAGGAAATTATAAAAATATGCATAGCCTTAATTATACCTCATAGTCAAAACTGTCTCATCTCTCGTCATATTGAAGCTTCCTCTAACATTGATCAAAATCAAGCATCAAAAGTGAATCCAATGTTCGTCGAAGCCGAACATTAGTAATTTTCTATTTGTAATTATATGATTTTTTAAATTTTAGTTGAGAAGTTGGACTATAAGTTGAATGAACTCTTTTGAAATATATTAAATCTGATTTTAAAAACTAATTTTCAAAAGCATGATGTTTTATAATATAAATTAAATTTATGAAGTTAAATTTTATTCTTTCACAATTTGTGTTGTGACATTTTTAATCAAGAATAATAGAAAAATATATTTTTTTAATATTAACAATTAATTAAATATAAAAACATGTACATGACGTGTGATCTCCTAGTTTTTTTCAATTATGTCATGTCCCCGTATCATATCGTGTCATGCCACCGTATCATATCGTGTCGTGTTCATGTCCCTATATCCGTGTCCATACTTCATAGGACTATATCATGTTAGTTGATTTTGCACCCAAACTTCACTTCCTAGGACAATCACTATAAATTTCTACAGCAATCTGACAACATACATCAAAATCTTAAAGAGAAAAAACCAGATTATGCTCACATCTACTTTAATCCAAAATTCCTCCACCATTTCTCAAGTAAATGATGATACAGGGCTCAATTTTGCCGTTCAATCCAAAAGAATAATTTCACACATACTATTGATTTGATTTTTTTTAAGTGGATTGGAATTGATGTCTAAGAAGAAAAGAGGTAGATGTAGCATGTTTCCAAAGAATAAATAAATAATTCACCACAACAAAGCCTTAATCCCACTACGTGGGGTCGGCTACATGAATCCTTTTTCTCCATTGCGTCTTATTTAGTGTCATATTTTCATTTAGTTCTAGTAAATTAAGATCATTTTTAATACAATAAGCCCAAGTCTTCCTAAATCTACCTCTTCATTTCTTAACATAAGTCGAATCTAAAACATCTACTCTCCTAATCGGATCATCAGATGATCGAAAATAGTCGACGTTTAATAACGTTTAATATGACCAAACCATCTAAGAGGAATTTCTCTAATTTTGTCCGTCACAGAAGCTACACCAACCCTATCACGGATATATTCATTTCGCATATAAAAAAATAATTCACCATTGGAGAAAAAATAAAACTAGGATGGCAGGAGTGAAAAAACAAAATCCCTTCAAAATCATTACACATATATAAGAAATTATTGAAAATATAATGAAAACGGGAAAGCCAATATATTTGCACCTAATGGCCAAATAACAAATATCTAAGCCCTAGCTATACAGTATTATATAATAAAAACGGGAAAGCCAATATATTTGCACCTAATGGCCAAATAACAAATATCTAAGCCCAAGCGATACAGAATTATATAATGAGCTTTGAAATCTAGTCCTCAAAATACAAAAATTTGTACAGGGTGAGTAAAGCCAAAACAATGTACCTGATTGTTTTTCTCCGTTAGTGTGCTTGCAAAGCCAGGTGGCACAAGTGGCCTGGCTGCAGGAACATGGATAAGAGAGGAAGATTTTGAAGAATCGCAAGAGGAAAGAGAAACAGCTGTAGATTCATCTGGCTTGCTTCTACCCTCTGTGGCTTTATCAGCATCAGAATTGTCTAAAAGTGCCAGTATATCTACGTCAAGGTTCCCTTTGTGATTATCATTGTTACGTTTCTCTTGCAGTGTTTTCTGCTGCTCTTTCCTCATTAACTCAAAGGACTCTGAATGGCCAATTAAAGAAAATAGACATTCATAAAGTTAGAATGCATTCATGAATCCAAGGTAGAAAATAAAAAATAGGGTTGTAATGTTGTAAGAAACCTTAAACTGATATTGCAACCATGATAAGGTATTACCTCTCCTCTTTCTTTCTTCTTCAGCTCTGTCCACATTTGAACAGTCACTTGATCCAAAAGTTTCATCATTACAAATATCACTGCCATCTTTGCGAGAATAAGGAGCAGGCTGATGAAAAAAGATAATCTAAAATCATAAACTACATCATACAATTGTATCAATACATAAAGAACTCATTTATACCAAGTTAAAATTATTATATTGACATAAAATAAATAAGTGAAGCCATCATTGAGAAACAGATTTAGACAAATATTTGAAATAATAATTAGAATGAAATTCAGAAAATGATACCTTATAAGACCGTGGGGGTTGATAAGGTTCAGTGCTCCTACTAAGCTGATACTGGCCACTACCCCGAGCCTTCGAGGCTGATGTACCATTGAATCCTGGAGGTCTAGCCAATGCACCACTTCCCAAAAGTCCATCATGCTCTGGATCTTGCCAAGTGCACCGATTTTGATTTCCAAACCTTTTTCCAGAATCTGTACAATTCCAACATATCACCAAATTGTGTTTAGAAAAGTATTAAAATAAATAATCAAAAAATGCAAAATGTAGTATTTAATTTAAGAAGGGAAAAAAATGCAACAACAAAGCAACAGAAAAAAGCAACTCATAGAACAAGCACAAATGCTCATGCAAAATCGGGGAAATCAAAATAGGGCAACTGATTTGACTTGCCCTATTTTCAAATAAATTTAAGAAATGACAATCAATGAAAATTATACCATAGAGATTTAGTTCAAAAGAATATGAGCATAATTATAATGAAAATTAGTTTAAGAAACAACAGGAATATGTTGCATGTCTTTAGCAAAATAATACAAAAGTCCATGCAAATGGAGATGAAATAAAACAAAAACCATAACTTAGAGATGAGCACAGTGAAAAATTTTTAGTACATCAAGTTAAAAGTTGATCATCTCATGTGCAAGCATAACAATCAATAAATGCAACACCAAAACTACATAAAATATCAACTAGAAAAGAACCAAGCACCCCGCAACAAATGTGAAGTTTATAATTGAAAGAATAATTACAATACAGTATAATAAATATAAAAGCTATGTGAGAGAAATTTAAATTTCAACGAGCTGTTTGTTAAAAAATTCAAACTAACAATAAAAAGAATACCATTCCAGCATTAAGCATGTATTCTCTTTAAAATTCTCTTAATATATCAAAGAAAAAATAATAGTAGTGAAATAATAAAATTAATGAAGACCTAAAGAATTAAATTGAAGATTTCAAAGGAGTGCAGCTTTGTCAACTAATTCGCTGAAAAAAAAAACAATCAATAAACGTATTCTACTACATTTTCATTTCCTGGGATGATCTTTTAGCTTAATATTAATAATGATAACCATTCAAGATACTAATGCTTTCAGAATGCCTTAAGGAGTGAAAACCTATAGAAAAGCCCATGACCTTAAACAAATTTTTGAATATAATACTATCGACCCTAGATGTTATTATCTTGGCTTCTAAGAAGGGCTATGAATTTCACTTGAAGAAAAAGATCTATGAAAAATCTTATCAGTAGTTTCAACTCAAATGAAAAAGAAGAATCCAATCACTTTATGGGTATATAAATTAAAAGAGAGAGAAAAGACGGAAACATACATTTACTATATATTTATATAGTATGTCTACAAGTGAATTTAAATGTATGCATGTAGGGCAAAGAGTTTTATTCTAATCAAAAATTCAAAATCAACAAGTTGGGCATGGCTTGACAAAACTTGGATCAAACTATTCACCAACAAAGCTTATTTCGGGCCAAGATTAACCAACCATGGTTCTAAACATGGATTTAATATTAGATTAAATTGCCTTCAAACAGAATTTAATTCACGAGTACAAGATCAATCAGTCATGCTTCTCAACATGTATTTAATATTTTAGATTGTTTAACTCATGAGTAAAAAGGGCTTCAATTTGAGGACAACTTCAAACATAAATTTTTGAAAATTTACTATTTGCAGAACACTCTAATAGAGATTGAAACATCTAGTATTATCAAAAGAAATCTGGGGTCAAAAACAATAAAATATTTAATATTATATGAAATAATCAGTCACCAAAACAACAGCACTGCTTTAATCTAAGTCATATGTATGACACAAAGCAACTATTGAAACAAAAATTATACATGGACAATTATGAAATATATTCCAAGTTCAAAAGCATTAGAATTTCAAGAAAGTATCATAGCAGTAAGGCCAACATCCAAATGGTTATGAATATAGTTCCAAGGTATTATAGTAAGTTTTTCGTTTTTTTCCCCCTCAATATAAAATCACACAAGTCAATTACAACACTTTTGAGTTTTTCTTGCAAACAAAGTAAAAAATCGTTCATTAAAGAGCTTTGACAAAAAAGCATTACATGATTCTAAATTGTATCAAATTAAACAGCTGATCTCCTAACTTGTGTAGATCAAACTGAAAAATTCACAAAAACGAAGTTTCTTTTCTATTATAGTTCACTCTTTTCTCAAGGAAAAAAAAGGCCAAAATTCAACCATTATAATTTTAATGTTAAATGGGAACCATATATGCTATGAATGCCATGGTTCCATAAAATGCCTATAAATTTTTACGTGCTTAAGAGGAAATAAAAATAAATAAATGCTCACCAATCACATTAACAACTTAGTCATCAAACATAAGGTAAGGGTTAGATATCAAAGATTCAAATTGTATAAAGTACAATAAGGGGTACTTCAAGGAAAAATCTGAAAAAACCCAAAAATTCATCGTAAGATGGACTAAAATGTGTGGAGCACCTGAAGTTTTTTTGTCAAAAGGAATGTTAGAACTAGCCTACTTCCACAGCTTGACTATATTAAAATACAGCTAAAACATGGCTTCCCAGGGAGTTGAGCTCCCAATATCATACTCACTTTGAAACTAAGTCGGATAAATTGAATGCCCTAGCCACTAAATGGTTTCAGTAATAACAATAATCACATATTCAACCATAATATTAGATTTTTCCATCAGCAAAAATATAATTGAATAGCAGTTACTAGTGTCATTAGCTCTTATTTACAAAATCTTGTCATACTTGTTTCCAAGACCATTAGAAGGTATTACTATGTCCTAAAATCGAAACCCGCCTACACTAAATAAAAAAATACTGATTGACAATGCAGAATTACATTATCATAAAAATATGTACGACCAAAGCAAATTGCACCCTTGATATAGATCATTAAGTTTCATCTCTAGCAGAAGAGTAGGAACAAAAATGTAATGAACATGTTCTCAAAATAGGCAAACAGCTCACAAAAATGTAAAGACTCCAGAGTCCATAGTTAAAACATCCTTGATTCTTTACCCGAAAAGATGAATTGGATTGCTGAAAATTCCATATAAAACCAGCCCCACCATGAATACCAACAGCATAATAAAGAAGGCAGCACTTAGGCAATTATATGCAGTAAAACACCACAATAACATCAAAGTGCTTTTCAGACGTCCAAGAAAAACCTTCCGGTCAAATTTTGGGTAGGCCCAATGGCAGAATTAACACTAAAACCCTTCAGTGTAATAGCCGCCACAGTAAAACCAAGTGCATCTATCCAAATATCTAATATCAGAAGCAGATGAATCAAGATTCAATGTATCGCAGTAGCAATTGCAAGGAAATAGAGAAGTGAGCGGCAAAAGATAAGAAAAAAACCCACCAAAAAAGATGGAAGACCAAGGTAAGGCAAATTAAACAGACCTTTAGCAAAGGATTCACGGTCAGACTGCAAGTCTAATTCCCTGTCACTTGATCCCGATGACCGAGTATCCCACCTTGAGGAGATCCCTTTTGTATAAATGTTTGAATTTTCTGGCTTATTCAGCAATTGCGAACCATAATCTCCCCTCCTTGAACCCTGCAAAGATAAGTTGCCAAAACTTCTTTGCCGCTCAGACGCAGTATTAGCAGCGTCTTCAAGATCACTGCCCAGAAGAAAAAGAAAAGTGTGTATGGCCGACTACGACGGATAAAACTCAACAAGGAACAATTCGAATACGAAAACAGAAAACAAACCTCAGAATTGATTTGTCAAATCCACCAGGTAACTTCTTGCAAACATCCAATTCACTCAAAGACAAAAAAAATTCCCTAGTATAGCTAATTCTCGGCTTCCTAGATCCAAAACGAGCCAACTTAGAAGCAGAAGAAGATGACTTCGCCAATGTATTCAATAAAATAATGAAAGATAATTAGAATCGCTTACTTCTGATCCGATACAGGGGCGCTGCTTCCCATCGGGGATCGCAGCGACAATTGACCCTCATTCTCCAAACTCATCCACGGAGTCACTAGCGCTCAGCTACTAAATGACAGCTTGATAAGCGAGAAATAAGCGAGAAACAAACCAAACCCTTCGAAACCTAGCTTTTCATGAGAAAAAAAAATGGAACTATAAAAACGGACACTAGTTCCCTGAACTGGAATTGTAAAAGACGTTCTATTTGAGAAAAACAAATATGTCTGCACCACGAAAACCCTTTCTAATTGAAAAAGAAAGCTTTACAATACCCTAGATAGCGCAGTCGAGCATCACAAACCCAAAGCTGGACCCTAGAAAAACTAGATGAGTATTTACAAAAACATGGAGGAAATCCGAAGCAGCGGGATGGAGAGGGCTGGTGAAGGAGGACATGAAACCGCCGACATCAATAGGTGGCTCAGATGGATCGTCGGAGAACAAGGATTTGGGTGTCAAGTAGGCCTTCAGGCGGTAGAGGTAGAGGTAATCGAAGGGTAAATGAATTCAACTCGTCCCGTCTGCGATACGTAGAAAGGGCAGAAAAACGATGCAGCCGTGAAACACAATACCGGAGAGGGAGAGGTCACCAAAACTAGGAAGATCGCTCAGCGAATACGATTATTCTTCATTTTATCCATCTAACCCCTATCTTGTTTTTTGTTTCCGTTTACCGGAACAGACGAAGTTTTTTAGCAATTTACAGATGAATCATTGATTCAATTTTATCATCGATGTTCCGCTGCCCGATACAGAACAGAAACACGGTGGTGAGTGCCACGCCTATTCGAAGATGGCCGGTGGGAGGATATGCTAAAAATGTCTTGTGGAAAATTTTATTGCATCACACATAAGAAACTTCTCTATTATATTATTCTTTATATAATATTTCAAAGTGCTAAAATATTACATATGTTGTTTATATAATATTTCGAAGTGCTAAAACTCCCAAGTGCGTGTCCTTATTCTTTATATAATATTTCAAAGTGCTAAAATATACATATGTTATTCATTTGATGTTGATTTACTTTTTAATATTCTATTTTTCTCCACTAATTGTATGCCCAAGATATACGTCTTAGTAAAAAACACAATACACTAGAGGCTCACTTAAAGGGCGAATGATTGTTTGGTCAGATCAAACTTGCTCGATAAGAAGTTGCACTACTTGGTCACTCATCTAGAGTTGTGAAGTTTGAAGACTTGCTTGATTTTGTGCCCAAGGAATCACGACAACTAGCTCATTCTTTCTCTTGAGAGATTAGATACTCATTTGAACTAGCCTGGGGGTTACCCAAAATAAGAAAAGGTTCACCAACTCTCTATATTCATAAAGTAACTTCAAATAATTAAGTTAAGAGAATCATTAGAAATTCACCCCAACTAATCGTCCACATGTACTGATAATTGTGATATAAAAGCATATTTAATTTGCACCAGAGTTACTAAATTAATAAATATTTGGATGTTATTTGAGATTTTTTGTTGCACTAATAAATTAATTTTAAATCTAGTGGGTGCATGAAAAAGTGCTTAAAATGGTAGAAAAGTATGCAAAAAAAAATTCTGGTCGTATGGATTCAACGGTTTGAAGGTTTATTCAACGCAAAAAAAAACTCCCAAGTGCGTGTCTGCCATATGGAAGCCCCAACGTGAGAGCTAGGCACAAGAAGTAGGCATATAGAAACCAAGCTGGAGGATCCAAATCGAGAGTGCAGCACCTTAATGCCAAACAAGTGCACAAGCACTAGATTATAACCCCACAAATAACGAGATTGGAACACAATTGTCATATATGAATTCTTAAGCACAAATCTAGTACCCAAGCTCTAGTTTTAGGTATACAACTGTTTGATCTAGCAGCACCAAACAAATAGTTGAAGGCTTAAGAGTATAGCCTATAGCCGAGGCATTTTTGTTGCTTCCAAGTCTATCTTTTTATTTGAGTTCATTGGATCTCCTGCCTTCTTTGAAGCTGATTAAAATATCTATATGTAAAGAACAGTTTAGGACAAATTAAGAGACTATTTGGTGAACCATAGATAATTTTTGTTGTAGCTTTTCTAATATTCTTTAGGAGAAGACTTGGAGAGAGCCATTCGAAGATTTTAGAGGCTGAGGTGAGACGAGGAAGACGATTACACTGTAGAGGTTGTGAGGCCTTCTCCTTATGTATTGTAAGCATGTTTAAGTTATGTTTATTTTATATAGCATTTTATTAAACATAATTTAATCCCTCTTTCTCGAGTTTGGATGGACCTTATGCTTTATTTAGTTAGTTGATGTTTATAATAAGTACTTGTTATTTTTATTTCCCTTATGTATTGCATTTTCTTCTCAATTTTATAGCAAACTATTAAATGTGTGGATAGTTATTAAGAACTTAGGAGATCTATCTAAAATTAATGGCTGGAGGATACATCATCTTGACTCAAAACACAATGTTGGATGGTCCATGAGTTAGAGACAAACGTTGACAATCCAAGAGCAGCAATGACATCTCTCACATTAAACATGTCACTGATAAGTAGATAAACTATGTGAGAGATAGCAAAAATCCTAAGCATGTGAGAGAAAGGTAACAACCACTTTTAATCATACCATGATACCATTAAATCAAAGTAAATCATTGATGTAATTATTAACCGGTATGACCAAAGCATTTGAAATCCTTCCCCTAGAGCCTTCTAACCCCGATTTTTTTCTAAATCAAACTTGATTTTACTTAGGCATAGTCTTTTTCTTATAAATAGCTTTATGCCAATTCTTGCTCGCCTGATCCAGTAATAAGTATAAGTATTAAGCCAAACTCTATGAGATGGTACCCTAAATTTTTCAATTTATTAACTGTATGACCACGTTCTCTTGTGTGTGTCTTAGAAATTACATCAATTTTTTTGTCATTGTTATTGAAGATTGCATGATAATTTGGATATTATATCAATAAATCATTATTTGGAATATTTTTTTTGTATTCTTTTATTTATTTTAACTCATTTTCCTTATTTCATGCTATTTTTATTATTATTAATCTTTTTTATAGGCTTAACTGCATTAAATGTGTCAGTTGAAAGCAAGCCACATCTTGCCAACGTAGAAGTAGAATGCCTGATGTTAAGAATATTATGAGAAAAGCATAAATCCAAGCACTTAGTTGTGACTAAGATGGTCAATCATGGAGAAGGTGATGAATTGGAAATGATGCAAAAGCCTTTAGATCTACGCATTACTAAAAATGCATGGGATCCCTCAAGCCATAATGAAGTCAAGCATACAAAAAAAATAATTTCGAAATTAAGATAGATTCTTCACATATGATCCAAAACTCTAATTTTAAGGGTTTATCCATTGAGGACCTGAATGCACATATTATGAACTTTTTGAGATTTTCAACACATTTAAAACTAATTAGGTGTTAAAAGACACTATAACATTGAGGGTCTTTGATTGCCCCCTAGAATGTGTGCGTGAAAATATGTGTAATTCAATTTCAATCTCCGATGCCGCACCAATTACTTGATCCTACCCTACAATTACGTAGTTATTTAAGTTCCCAAAAGATGGTCAATAACTTGACTCAATTTATATTCAGTGGCTAGTGTGCAAAATGGATATGTTATAGAATTTAGAATTTGATTTATAATTTTTACACTTGGGGTTCTACGCAAGTATATGTATCATTTCAAGTAATATAGAATTTTCTTTAAAACCCCCAGTATCAATCCCACGAAGAAGCTATAACTCTTTAAATTGACTTAGTGAAATTTTCACTTCAAACTGATGAAATTAATCTTGGAAACAAGATAGCAAGTTCAGATGTAAAATAAAGTTTCTAAATTCCTACAAGTTCTATTTTAAACTAAGGAAAATGAAGAGATTCTAAACTAACTAGATGTAAAAGAGTTCAAATTATGTAAAGATTCTTTCCCCTTGAAATGAGTTCATAATCAATGTGGGATTTAAATATTTAAAGGTTTAAATGATGTTTTCTGAAAAATAGGAGCATACATATTATTTACCATCTTCCGAGTGAATAAAGAACATTAGCTAATCTAAGTTACTGATTGTATGATTATGTTGGGTAGATTTTAGCCTATCACCTTTAGATTGCCTACTGTGCCCTCTTTTTAGAACTAACCAGACCTCAAGATCCAACACTAGACCAAATTTGTTAAGAATATTGCATTTCACCCTAGAAATCTCAATTCTACTCCCATCAAATCTTATCTTCCTATCTATTTGCACTAAGCAATGGATTGAGTCCCCTCGCATCCTAAAGGTTAATGTGGTATTCACTAATTAAGGGAAATCATAGCTCTTTGAATCTTTATGTTTAACAACATATTTTAACATTATTTTAACATTACAAATGGCCAGTTTCCAAAGTAAATAAAGAACTGGTAAAAATACCTTCACAATTTTAGAATAAAGAAAGTTTTAAATAAATCAACTCCTCCACATGATTAATTCTTATTATAAGGATAAAGAAAATGAAAACTACTCAGAATTCATGAAGATAACACAATAAAACATAATATATATTAAAACTCAATATCACAAACCAAAACTTAATAGAAAGTACAAATACTTATCTCAAACCCTTCTCCAAGAAATCCTCTAAAGTTCCTCGCTTTTCCTTGACTCCAATAGACTCACACAAGACTCTAAAACACTCATAATCACAAAGATTCACCACCCTCTCACTATAGTGGCCACCCACTCCAATGGTGGTCTAATCTACAAAAAAATGACTCCCTTTTTGTGTGGAAATCTTTTCTATAAATAAAGCTCTGAAAAACACTAAAAGTCACTTTAGGCACTTCTTCAAAGTTCATCCAAATTCAATGGATAAAAGCCTAACCCTTTCTGGCGCCTAGGTGCGCTTAAGTGCCCAACTGTGGCACCATGGAGCTGGCCTTCTAGAACTCCTGACTCCTAGGCACCAGGTCAATTTTTGTTCATTTTGACCTATTTTGCTCCATTTTGGTCCATTTCTTCTCCTTTTTTTTCTTAAACTCTATTTCTTGCACATGAACCCAAAACACACAAAATATCTTTCATTAAAGCACAATATCCTTAAAAATGAGTATAAAATGTACATATAAAATTAAGTAATTTTAAGGTGTGTTAATTACCTCAAACTTAAACGTTACTTGTCCTCAAGTAACCCTTTTACTATATAACCCAAATATTATAACTTATGAAAGTGTGTTTCACTTAAAGATTCCTATAGCTTTGCCCCATAAATGTGATAGGAAACTTTTTATAAAAATTTTCAATAACTCAGGTTAGAACTAAATTATAAGAATATCCAGTAACCAAGTTAGGAATTCTGATTTTCTATTCATTTCAAAAATAATTGCAATTTGTTAGACTTAGGAATCTTATAAAAATTAAGAGGAAAGAATTATTTGAGAACTCTACTAAAGTTCAGAAAAATGAGAAACGATACTTTCCTTTAAGATAATTCAAGTGAGCCAATTTTTAATTAGTCATCTTCTCAAGCTTCTCCCCATATATTTTTCTTTTTTCTTTTCTTTTTCTTTTGATTTTTGCTTTTATTTATTTTCAGGCACATTTTCAATCCTTTCTTTTATTTTCTTTTTATGTGAGAATTAATATATCTGGATAGCCTTTAATGATTTTGAATTACACTATCATCTTCCTAAAGTTAAAAAATTATCACATTTCTTCACTGAATAATGTGTATAAATATAAAAATGATTTTCATATAATCCCAATTCTTTTTGAAGTGTATTT